GAGATGACTACTATCTTCAGGTCTTCCTTTGCTGGTCCGTGGCATAGATGGAAGGAAGTACCTCAGGAAGCACGCGACTTGATGTTCCAGCGCTTTAGGGTTGGTGTACCATTTTAATGTAGTTATACATACAATGTTATTGTTTTTACATTTATACAAACATTGTGTATGTAGGCTAAGTTCCAGTGGGAACCTGAGCTGGATGACACGGTTCATGATTTATGGACCAAATCCATGCACAACAGGTACTCTGACTGGATGAGCTCTGCACGTGATTGGGCCGTGGCACAGGCCTATCCTGGTGATCAACAATGGGATGGTGAGGACTTCTCACGGATTAGATTACACCATCCCGTATGGATACCAGACAGGTTTTGGCTACAGATGATTGATACGGTATGCATCTCTATTGGGAGATTTTCGAACTGCCATGTGTACCGACTTAATTCTTATATATGTGCTCTGTTTTTAACAAGTCTGGGATACCGAGGCTTGGAAAAGGAAATCCAGGATCAATCGGGCCAATTGGAACACCGAGTTTGAGGGGGTGTCGTCCAGACACACTGGGTGATCGATTAGTACGGCACAACATCGAGACAGGATGGTGAGTATCTAATCCTTTTTGAAAATGTAATTCGTTCTTTATGTTAGTAACAACTTAACCTAATTGTCTAATGTAGGCACAAGTAATGGGTCATGAGCCTACTGCTACTGAGGTGTTAAAGCGCACTCACTGCACGAACCGAAAGTTCGATCAAGGTTCGTCCGACCCGCCTACCGATCCTCCTCAGTTCAGTTACCCGAAAGCTGCTAGGTTTCATGTAAGTTTTCTAAAACCATTACTTTGGTTAATAAATACGTTTGGTAGGTTTAAGGTTATATATTTCAATAAACATAGTGATGCTATTAGTTTGGGCTGCCATTGTTGGGCAGACGTTAGGCTAAGTAAGTAGGTTTATAATGTGACTTCGAACATTAGTATTATTAGAATGCTTAGTTGTTACATACATGCATTGGTTATGTTTGATTTACAGTCGTTATGCTGCTGAAATATCTACATACATAACCTCACCCGTTTTTGTTTTGGTGAACCATAGGAGCGATTTCAATCGCTTAGGGGTGAGTCACAATCTAGTACCGACAGCCCTCTCCCTGATGAGGCATCTCTTTGGGAACAAAGTGTCGGAGGACGGAGGAAAGGCCGAATATTTGGTTTCGGGACCACCCAGGATCCCTCTTATGCTATGACGGGTAGATGTAGCAGTAGCGGGTCAYCATACGAGTCAAGAGYGRAGGTACGTTGGTTATATTGTTATAAACTTTCTCATTGCTAAAATTGGGAAGAAATTACTGATTTTGTCGAATATTTAATATTTACAGGTAGCGGAGTTGAGAGAGAAGTTGGCAAGGGTAGAGGAGGAGGCAGAGTTACGGGAGGAACGTCATCTGGCCGAAATGGAGGACGAACGAAGGAAGAGGGCAGATTTGGAGGCCGAACAGGCCAGACAAGCTGCTGCATTAGCCCAACAGGCCGCATTATCGGAGCATTTTGCTGCGTTTATGCGGCAGTCAGGATATCTTTTCCCACCTCCCCCACCTCCCGATAGTTATATTTTATGTATTCGAAGATTAAATTGTATGAATTGAATGTTTTAAATTGTATGAATCCATATTTTAAATCGTATGAATTGGTTACTTTGTTCACAGATTTGGTTTGTTATATATTATTATTTTCAGGTTTTTATAAATAAATACAGGATTTATGCATTTTTAAAAAAATTATTTCTTAATTTTTTACAAATTAGCGACGAATTAGCGAGGGAAAATCCGTTGCTGAAAGTGCTTGAATTTCCCTCGCAAATCCGTCACTGAAAGTGCTTGAAGTTCCCTCGCAAATCCGTCGTTGAAAGTTCCCTCGCAAATCCGTCGCTGAAAGTTCCCTCGCAAATCCGTCGCTGAAAGTTCCCTCGCAAATCCGTCGCTGATAATTCCCTCGCAAATCCGTCGCTGAAAGTTCCCTCGCAAATCCGTCGCTGAAAGTTCCCTCGCAAATCCGTCTCTGAAAATTCCGTCACAGATCTGTCGCTGATATATCTGTCGCATATCCCTCGCTGATCCGTCGCTAAGTACTTCCCTCGCTGATCCGTCGCTGAAAGTGTCCGTCGCAAATCTGTCGCTGATATCCATCGCTGATCCGTCGCTGATAGCATTACCTACGACTGTTTGACCGACGGAGTATCAGCGACGGATTGCCCTTTCAGCGAGGGAATTTTCCCTCGCTGATACTCTGCATTTTTGTAGTGTACATCACAAAGCAACGACGTCATAGGAGATGTCTACCTCACACATCATTACCTGGCGAACTCACACAGCATGTCCGCACTTACGGCTTAGACAAGCTCACAAAACATGCTCGTATTTACAAAATCATATCGTAGTACATCCCATTGACACACAAATACTCAAAACACATATTATAAAAATATCGAACTTTTCACGCATATATATACAACATATCAAAAATCTCGAGAAAGTTCAAACAACTTTTGGATAATAAGGCATGCAACATTTTTAAAAATAAATCACGTGTAACTCACCATACAGGTCATAACTCCAAACCGTTCCTTGAAGTTCCTCATGTTCTCCCAAAACAACGCATAAACTTGTTGCGCTTCACCAAATCATCCCCATCTTTCACCTCTCTTATACGAGTTTCCTTCCCTGAGAATTTGTCATCTCTATGCTTGAAGACCTCCCCATATATATATACTTAGTCATCGGCGGTTTCACGGAATATGAAACGATAAGCCAAGATTAATGGTCGTAGGTTTCATGACCATTGGGTTTCTTATCATTAATATTATATTCAATTTCTTTCTCTCCTTTTTTGGTTATTACACCAATTTCTGCCCAAACTCCACGGGCGTTAAGGATTTCGCCCTTGGCATATAGGGCGATCTACCGGACGTGAAGATTTCACCTCGGAAGTGAAACTTATCCCAAAAAAAAATTAATTAGCTTGTTTCTCACCCAAAAAATTAAACCAACTCAAAATACATACAAGAGTTATTCTAAGGTCGAAATATAAAAATAGAACTCGAAAAACTATACGCACCAAAAATCCGAATGTTACATCAAACAATGTCTTTTATCAAACAAACCATTATTCTAAGTTGGTATTTTTCAACAAGAAAATGGTAATGGCTTTTTGAGGACGGAATGAGTATTTATTTAACTTTAGGGTGTTTGATGGGGTAGTAGAACTTAGATAGTCAAGGTCGATGATGATTTAAATTTCTTAGAAAGTGCGATCTTGATGGTACTACTCTGTGATTAATTATTTAATAAATCACCGCAATCCTTTTGTTCTTATATATTATCTTTGTTAATCATAAGGGTGGTGTCTGATTGATTTGAGCTTGACTCCAAATATCAAAAGTAGCAGGAGGTTCCAGGTTCAAATCCAAGGAGGAATAAAAATCCTCTTGTGGCCACGGAGGTTCAAATGCGGTGACTTCGAGCTATCTGCAAAGCAGGTGCCCTGAGATTAGTTGGCTCACATAGCAGGTTGGATATCCAGGTTAATAAAAAAAAATATTATCTTTGTTTTGGTCAAATGAATTAATACCTTAAAAATGTTAAACAAAGATGTTTAATTTAAACGTATATGAAAGGAAAGTCACTGATTTAACATATAAAAAGGACTCATTATTTAATTATATATCATGTACCAAAATTCATTCAGTATTCCTCATTTTTTTTCTATGAATAATGGTTAACAAAATGAAGCAGTTCCAAGTTTCATTCAGTTATCTTGATTACCTTACCAACAACATTAATAGAAGCTTTTGATTACTCCATGATTTCTCCATGAACAATGGCTAACAAGAAGGGAAATTGTTCATTTGATGAATGACATTAAGTTGATTAATCGTAACTCGTCAACCCCAAATACTACAACTCTTCGACACTAAATATGTTTGCATTTTTACAATTTGTGGGTACTGGTATAAACTTGAAAATTTAATGGTAAATGTTTGCTTATCGTTACAAAGAAATGGTTGGAAAACTAGGTAAAACTCGACAAGGTGTTATATATGACATTTTTCATATAAAAAACTAATAGAATGATGGGTTCATGTTAAATATCTAGGAAAAAGGATATTGTAGATTAAACTTTTTTTTATTAACCTGGATATCCAATCCGCTAGCGAGCTGACTAATCTCAAGGCGATCACCGCCTGTTTTGCAGATAGACCGGAGTCACCGCATTTGAACCTCCCTGGCCACAAGAAAATTTGTATTCCTCCTTGGATTTGAACCTGGGACCTCCTGTTACTTTTGACCTTTGGAGCCAAGCTCAAACCAATCAGGCACCACCCTTATGATTGATTACCCTTTTTCATTTCAGAGAAGGGATCAAATACAAATAAAAATAACCACTTGGGATAAACTCAAGGACTCCACCAACTAAACACTAATCATGGAAACAGCTTCCATGGTTAACCAACTCAACTAGCCCAATCGTAGGATATCACGATGCACACTTTTTCTTTAATTTAAACTATGCAAGCACTTAAAAAACTAAACTTAGACTTGGTCCTATAACTTACAACGTTTTGCTTCTTATATTCTATTAGGTTATCTAAGTCGTCTAACTTTATTCTAACAATATATTGTAAGATAATTGTACACGATACATAGTTATTTGTCATATAACCTTAAAATTCCGTTAAGTACTTAAGTTAGAACGGCGTAATTAATTAAGAAAGGTTGATCGAGGATTCTAAAGAGTTCATTTTTTATTACGTATTTTAGACGTTATACATAGAATTCTCTTATTTTTTGTGTTGTTGATTCGAGTCCTTTTGGATAATCACAGGAGGAAACCCTGGCAATACGTTATGATTTAATAATTAAATTACACCCCCACATTGACCGTACAAGTTCATCCCTCTTTAAATATCTTATCCCTCATTACATTTTCTGCAATGAACAACATGAAGCACTTTCATGTTTTCCATTTACTTATCTTGATTTCATTAACGGCATCAACAGAAGCTGTAAGTTACTCCAAAAGAGGATGCAAAGATATGTGTGGGAAGGTCAGGATTCCATACCCTTTTGGAATCGGATCAAAATGTTCTGCCAATGAATGGTACGTTGTTCATTGCAGATCCTCAAAACCATATTTGCCTGCATTCAACAACCTGCAAGTGTTGGCTGTAAGCTTGGAAAACCAAACAGTGACTGTTAATGCCTCAATGATCTCTGATTGTCAGAATCCGATAAGGAATAGTATTCAAATTCTAAGTGTTAACCTCAGCGAGAGTCCCTTTGTGTTTTCCAAATTACAAAACTTGTTCATTGTTGAAGGGTGTGGCAATGCTGTCATCATGGACCACGAAAGTGTGCTCACTGGATGTTCAACGACTTGCCGCAATGCCACTGTCAAAGAAATAAATAACTGTTTTGGCATCGATTGTTGTCAAACCACAATTCCTCACTATCTAAAGTCGTATGTTGTAGATCTTACCGGCTTGGAAAGACTGGGCGGAGATGGAGAATGTGGGTCGGCCTTCTTGGTGGATAAAAATTCATACGTTGAAGGAAGCGTTTCTGTTGCTAGGGACAACGTCTTTGTTCCTATATCACTTTTATGGACCCTCACAGACCACGACTTCGACGCAATACATGGTTGTTGGCAAGCACACCGTAGAAGACTCAATTTGGATCTGGGTAATGGTATTTCTTTGGAGTCTACAAAGTGCGAATGTGGTTTTGCACAAGAAGGAGACCCGTATTTACTCGATGGATGCAAAAGTACGCAATTCTGTATTTCTATAGCCTGTTGAATTAAAGACATTTTTGCATATATGATCTTGTACGTAAGATATTTAACTTTCTATTATGTGGTTTTAGCATCTGAAGAATGTAGACGGTGTCATCGTAGTGGGCGCGGCTGTTATAGCGAGAACATACTTAATGGCGACATGAAGCTGATCTCAAACACCACTTGTCATCCTCGAGAAATATACGATAGCGATGATTCTCGAAGCAGTGAAACATCACTAGGTGTTGTACTAGGTATTTCTTTTATCTCAGTTTACAATCCATAACGACCCTAAATGATCACGTAGATAGTTAGGGGTCTAGGTTAGTAAGAAGCTGCATTACCCACTCCATAATATATATACACAGAGAGAGAAGTTCCATTAACTACCCTGAAACCTCCCATAGTGGGTGAGATGAATATTCGTGATGAATAACACATGAACATGTATTCATTGTGAATATTGATCCTGAAAAGGAACACCTGACTCAACATGTTATTTATTTATGAACATGTATTCATTGTGAATATTCATCCTGAAAAGGAACACCTTGACTCAACATGTTATTTATTTATGATGAATAAAACGTCCAAATTTCTGATGAATATACCACTTGTAATTGAGCTGTATACGGTTTGCAGGAATCCTAATCGAGTTTAGGTTTCTAACGAACCTGCACCTCTATAGCAGGAGGCTTTTGGTGCGGGCCAGGTCGATAAGAACTTGTAGAACGTGTGGTTTTGGCTCATTTATAGTTCAATTTACTCGAGGTTTAAAAACCAATTAATATGGCGTGTTCAATTGGACTCTCTACATGGTGAAAAGCCTGTCCATGTTTTGCGTTTATCCCAAGAAGATTTTAGATATTTGATAGAAAACAACTAGAAATGGTAATTTTTTTATGCCCTTACAAGTATAAAACAAGAGTAGGGTCCCTTATGAAAGAGAGTTTCAATATCATACATTCTATGAAACATAGAACACAACGATAATTTATCTCGTTAATGCACAAATTGACAACAGCACAAAACTGTTGTGATTCAAAACAGAAAGCAAAAATTAAAAGGAACACAAAAATTTACGTGGTTTGGCCTTAGCCTACATCCACCAAGCAACAGGGACAAAGTCACAATCAAATTGTGGAGATTACAAAGGTTGACACCCACTTTTTCACAACAATATGCTCTTCACACCTCTTAGAAAGAAAAACAGTCTTTCTTTTTTCTTTTGTAACTGTTTTACAGTTATTTACTGTTGTCCTATTAATTAGCAATTAATTATTGTTTGTAATAATATAGCCAAATGAGAAATAGAGCCATAATACAACAGGGTCGAAAAGAAAATTATAAATTTAACTGAGTGAAAAATATATTTAAAATCATTAGTACTTGATTAAAATTTCAAAAACATATATTGTTATAGAAATACGAAATATAATTACAATTGAAAAGGTTGAACATATGCGATCATTATATGTATTTTTCATAAATCTCGTTGATGAGGTATATAGTTAACGGTGACCATGAAAAGAAAACATATGAATCAATATGATCCGAAAGGTTGTCATAGTTCTTTTATATCCCTAGCTTGTAAGAATGCCATATTCTTATGATATGAATTGTTGAATGTTCTAGGATTCTTGTGTTAACTCTCCCTATGTTATTGGCCTCTTTTCAGGTGTTAGCATAAGCATAGGACTGATTATACTAATGGCAACCGGTTATGGAATGTACCAAGCCATCAAGAAAACAAAAGCCAAGAGACGAAAGAGAAGATTTTTTAAGCGTAATGGTGGTCTACTTCTTAAACAACAACAAGCAGCTGATGATACTGGTTTAGTTGATCATACAACCATACTTTTCACCTCCAAGGAGTTGGAAAAGGCCACTGACAATTTTAACGATAACAGAGTTCTTGGTCGAGGAGGTCAAGGTACAGTTTATAAAGGCATGTTAGCTGATGGAAGAATTATAGCAGTCAAGAAATCTAAGGTTGTTGATGAAAGTCAACTAGAGCAGTTCATCAATGAGGTTGTCATTCTTTCACAAGTCAATCATAGAAATGTGGTGAAATTATTGGGATGTTGTCTAGAGACAGAAGTTCCTTTACTTGTCTCTGAATTCGTCTCTAATGGCACCTTGTACGACCTTATTCAAGACGATACTGGTGAGTTCCCAATTTCTTTGAACATGAGATTAGAAATAGCTACCGAGGTTGCAGGAGCACTCTCATACTTACATTCGGCAACTTCTATTCCAATATACCATAGGGACATCAAAACCACTAACATACTCTTGGATGAGAAATACAAAGCTAAAGTTTCTGACTTTGGAACTTCAAGGTTTGTATCGATAGATCAAACTCACTTAACTACATTAGTCAAAGGGACATTCGGTTACTTGGATCCAGAGTATTTCCAATCTAGCCAGTTCACTGAAAAGAGTGATGTCTATAGTTTTGGGATTGTTTTACTAGAACTATTAACAAGAGAAAAGCCAATTTCCTTGACTAGATCAGGTGAAAAGAGATCTTTAGCTACGTATTTCATGTTGGCCATGGAAGAAGGACGTGTGATGTCTATTTTTGATGCAATGCTTGTTAAGGAAGGTTCTAGAGATGAGCTCTTGGCAATGGCTAACTTAGCTATGCGATGCTTGAATTTCAATGGAAAGTACAGACCAACAATGAAAGAAGTAGCTATCGAGTTAGAAGGTATGAGAATGTCGCATGTGCCTTCTACGATTGAAACTAATTTTGGAAACGTGTACTACAGTGAAGATCGATCAATGCTAATGAATGAGGAGTCAACATCAACAACAATGAGTTTCACAAAAAGTACTAATGAATGATTCGACAAGATAATACGTAAGTTTATTGTTTAAGTGAGTCTTAATTTCTTCCATCTTTTTGTGTCGAATTAATAAGTTATGTATGGAAGTTAAAGATATTAGCCAATTATATATTTTTAGGATATATATATATATATATATATATATATACTAGAAGCGTACTCGCGCAATGCAGCGAGATACATCATGATTTTAATATTTCATTTTCTTCTTGATCTCATTCGATATTATAATATGGCTTTATGTGATTTTGAGAAAGTGATAATGTTTTTATTTTTGAATAAAATATATGTTTGAAGATTTCATAAAAATTTGACAAAAATATATCGATATTAGTATCAAATTAACTATTTGAAATTCCTCATTTTTTTGTGTAAATTTTTAATTCAATTTTTTATAAT